TTCATCATACTGCCGTGCTTAATTTGCCTGTGGTATGCTTTTTGCTCTTTGCTTATATAAAGCAAAGGCCATAAATTGTAGAAGGGCTGGTTTGTAATGAGAGAATAGTTTGGGTGCTGAAGCAGTAACATAGAACCAAGTAACGTGTGTCTGTTAGATGAACAGATAAGATGAAATCATATTTCAATTGCAGGAGGCATCTAGAAAAGATTGTAAAAGTGCCTAAGGATCGGTCTTCATAAAGTAATTGAAATGTGGGTAAGGTGGAGGTTGGCAGCTGGAGGCTGTACTTCTGCAGTGGGTGTTTCCTTCCAGCTGAGAATGGGGGAAGGAGACAGAGCAGTAAGAGTGATGGGGGAGAACCAGAGAGAGCAGGAGGAAAGAAAAAACACATCTGTCGAGATGAAATTATGCAGCCCTGTATTAAGAACAAGCAATTGAAATCTGGTGGGCAAAGGGTCTTTAATGGATTTTTTGAAAGTTTTAAAATGTTTTTAGAAAGTAGCTTTTTGATACTTTTACTACCAAGATCCATTTCTGATGGTTTTCTTGCATCTGCCATAAACACAAAAGAGTATGTCTTTTATTTGTATCGGGTCTATGCTAGTGGTACAGTAATACAGTAATACCACTTCATTCAAATTTGTGGTATATTTTAAGCATTTCCAATCACTGATCCCTTTTGAAACAGGAGAGAGAATTTTTACCGCTATCTCCAGACACAGATTATTCAGTGTTTGTAAGGCCTGACAGCTCTTCCAAAGCCTGGAGTCCCAATGACAGTCACTTTCCATCACATCAGACTGCAGGTAATTATGTGTAACTTCAGTATACTGATGCTGAGATAGAGAAGGTCTTTATTTATAGTATTAAAATCATTAATAAAATATACCTCTCCTTTGGAAAATATAGAGCTGCTTTTATGTAGGCAAGTGCACCTTGCTGTTCAGGCTTGGTCTGTAGTACGTTTGACTCAGGTTTAATATTTGTCTTATTGACAAGGAGGTATTGACTTGCCTCTTCCTGTGCCAGGCTATCTTTTATAAAAGTTCATAATATCTACAATACGCTGTGTTACAACACTGTGAAGTAACTACTTTGTTTTGAAAAAATCTGTTGTGTTTTGTGGTTTGTTGTCATATAGTTTATGCAGCTTCACTTGGGTTTCTTTTATTTCTTGTTAGTCCCTAAGCTCTGTAGCCAAAGAATGTCTTTTTTTTTCCATTCTGATGATAGTGTGGAACATCGGTAAAATATTGACACGTTTTTTGTCCAAGATGAACAGCAGTAACATGAAAGACCCGCACTGACAGAACTTGACTGTGTTGGGGACTTCTCAGGTCTTTGATATGTTTTGAAGCATCAAGATGCTTTTGATGCAGTATTTATCACAGTATTTGTCTTGGCAGGCCTGCTTACAGTTATTAGATTCCATAGACCTGAATTGCTGCTTCTTTGGCAAAATTAGTCATCATTCACAATGTCATTCTCTTAGTGTGATTTACAAAAGTAGTCAAGCTCAGCATTTTAGGAGAAATACATGGAAATGCATGACTTCTTAGACATGATATTGCTCATTGCTAGAAGTGAGAAATGTTCAGACTTTTAATTTTCTTTCACAGTGATGCTGCTCGAGTTTGCAGCTACACCTGGAAGTTTGCAAGAATCTTTTTTAAAAAGAAAGAAGAACTTCATCCAGAAATCTCTGAAAAGAGTAGAAGAAATAAAAAATAAAGAGAGAGAAAATGAAAAGCCAGAAACCAGACAGTTTCAAAGAGGAAAGTCTGAGAAGTTAAGCAGGCAAAAGGAGTCTTTTCTTATCTCTGGTAGGTTTGTCTGGGGCCAAGACATAGCATTAGGTATCTTTTTAGTTGCTGTTTTGTATCGAATAATAGATTTCACATTTGTTGCATCTTTGCTATTGCAGACTGGGATAGTCTTTAATTTGTTTTCTCAGGGATGTGGGGAGCTTTTTTTTTTCTTCCCCACTGTCTGGCTACCTCTTCAGTGTTGTAAAGGCCTTTATGGGTTGGTCCTCTTCCTATTTTCACAATCTGCCCAGGCATTTGTAGTCATAAGGTGTCTCTGCAGATAATAGTTTTTTATCAAAGAACAACCACATTAAGAGAACTGATGCATCTCTAATGTCTGTTAATAAGCATGGCTGGCTTAAAGTATAGGCAGCAGCCTAATGAGTGAGACCATGAAGAGTTATTCTTAACACAAGATGTCATCTCTGTTGTGTCCATTCTGCTAGCTTACTCCTTTTTTGTAAGGTCATTTGAAGATCTTTGAAAATCTCTCATGCTTTTGAGTTAGCTGGACTAAATATTTAAATTTAAGATATGTTTGACTTTTTAAATTTTTTTATTATTATTTAGGAAAAAAAGGTGCAGTTGCCAATCAGTTGAAGAAAGTAGGAGAGGTGAAAGTGTCTTCTCCAGAGGACAGGAAGTCTGGAGAAGTTGAAATGCACCAGCGTACTTCAAGGTATTGCATCAACACAAGTGGGAGAAGTTTGGATTGAAAAACCAGAAGTAGTTCATCTGTGCCTTGTGAAAGCTTCTGGTCAGTCAGAGCAGTTAGTGATCTTCCAGTTGGACCCAATGCTGCTTAACACAAAGGAGTTGGGAGAGAGAAGCCAAGTGTGTTTGATACAGGTGCCTGTTGGGAAATTCCCCTGCACAGCTGGCAATAAGAAACATGCCTGGCAGCCTGCTCATTTCATCATGCTAAGGCAGCAGCTGTGCCAGTCAGTGCATGAAACTAGATTAAATTTGAAGCAAAGATCACCATTGCACTTGGGCACTTACTAACAGTAGCATGCAGCAGGTACAACTCCTGAATGGGGTGGGGTTTTTACTAGATGCAGCTGAAGAGGAATTTGAAGTGATTCTAGATTACTGGAGAACTGAGTCAAAATTTCCTTTTGTAATTTCTAGCAATTGAGATGGTACAAACCCTTAAGCTTGTTAACTTATTCCAGCTTTGCCACTTTCTTCCTGATTAGACACAATTTTTTTCCTGTTTTGACAGACTTTATAATCAACTTGCAGAAGTAAAAATCAGAAAGGAAGAAAAAACAAGGCAAGAAACTTATGCTAAAAACAGAGAAAAGGCTAAAGAGTTTCAAAAGGTAATAGTCTGCTACAGTGTTGTACTGCCTAGTCAGTTCTCATGATTTTACTGAGCTGCTAATCAGCCTAATTGAGATGTAGTTCTGTGATGTGAGTGCAACTGAAATGGAGACCATCAAGCTGGTCTGTATTTTAAGTAATGCTGTTGGTATATCCCACTTAAGAATTTCCTCATCAACACTATGGTGGAGCTGAAATGTGGTTTAAAATGTGTGTCCACCTCAGGCTGAATTTTTCTGGTGACTTGAGGTTGAGCAAAAAGGCTGTTTGGGACCCCAGCTGCTAGAAAGTCTACCTGACAGAAGAATGGCAGTTTTTTTCTTAGTCCAAACTTGACTGAATTTCTATTATAAGGTGTTTTGGGGTTTGGGTTTTTTTGGCTGCTTTGGCAATGCTTCATATTCTGCCTAGCTGAACACATCTTGTGGTAGAATAAATTGTTGATCTTTTTAGATTGTTTTACTGATCCCATAATTAACAGAAAATGAGAGAAAGAAGTAAGCAGACCTTCCCCCTGAAATCTGTGGGTTGTGTGAAGCAGTGTCAGGAGCTGAATTCACTGCCCCTTTGTCCAGGCTTGCACTGTCCATTACTGATGCTCAGGTTACACAGGAGTAGTACCTGTGTTGTGCCCACCTCACTGCACTGGTTTTAGTGTGATCACTTAAGCTACACTACTGTCGTCTCATCATTTATTTGCAGAAAATGCTGGAAAAACTACGAGCCAAGAAGACTTGGAAAGCACTGTGACTGCAGAAGACTTTGATGAAGAGGGAACACTACTGTATTGGTACAATCCAAGAGACCACTGACTAATGCAGACTTCATTAAGTTAACTGCAGAGCCATTAGGAATCCTCAGCTTTAAGCTGCAGGAAAACCCCAAGTAAACAAAATCTGTGTAGTACCCTCCTGTTTTACTGAGATCACTACAGAAGCAGATTAACCACTGCTTTAAACATGGTTTGCCTCAGATTAAGTAAGTAAACTGACATTGTGAAAAGCCATTCTTCATGTGTGTTAGCATTTTAAAGGGAGATCATACTAACTTTTGTAATATATGTGTATAAACTATTTTCAAATAAAGGGTTTGTTTTTTTTAAGATTGGCACCCTGAGGATTCAAAACACTACTTTCTTCTGTGAAGCTGAAATTTTTATCTGTTTGTGGCACTGTATGATTTCAGATCAGGAACTGTGGGTTCCTGCAGTCTCAAGAGGTACATCTTAAAGCACCTGAAGGCAGGAGCAGAACAACCTTACATTGTTACTACTTCCAAATGTATTTTTTTCTATCCAAGTTTCCTGAGCTCCAATTCAGAGCTAAGTAATTACACCATCAGACAAATTTAAAGCTCAGTGTTCTAGCAAAAGTTGAATGTGGTTACCAGCAGGTGGAAGAGCAGGGCCATTTCATTGAAGTTGGTCCTGTTTAAAATGCAGCAGAGAGGTCTTAGGAAAAAGTCTTCAGTTAGATGTACTGCATGTACAATTTGTTACCGCCTGCCAAGTAAAGAGCACAAGCCAAAATCAGCTTGTCAGTCCATGGAGTGAAGTGAGGTGGAAGCTTTTTGCAATGCTAAGATGAGAGGTATAATATGGATTGTCTCTCTCATCTTCACCCTGGTGGTTCTGCAAGGGCTGCTCAGGCTCTTACCCATGACTCTTCTTATGATCAGAAGGGAAGAAAGAGCCCAAGCCCACACTTTGCTACCAGCAAGCCACAGGTGATCATCAGCCATGAACACACCACCTTTGCTTGCTTCCAGTATAGCAACAGGAAATAATCCCAGGCTGCAGCTTTCAGAGATCAGTTTTATTTCAATACTGTGACTTTCTGTACAGAACAACTACTTCTCCAGAGCTTTAGTACAGTTGAGTTCAGTGATAGGAAGTGAGGGAAAACAGCTGGTGAAGCCTTTTCCAGTCAAATCACAACTCAATACACTCAGCTTAGTGAGTTAGCTCTTCTGCAGCACAAAGCAGGCAGCTTTGCCAGATCTCCCAGGAGGGCAAAACAGGCAAGTCACAACTGAATGGGTAAGGGCAAAGGCTCCCTGTGCTTCTGAACTGGTTTCCAACAACACACACTACTGCAATTTACAAAGCAGCAAGGGAAGTTAAAATGAATGTTTAATTTTAAGTTAACTGCAGTAAACACTCAAGATAGATAAGGTTCTTTCTTGGAAGAGCTGTGCAGTTCCTTGCAGTAACATCACCAGGACCTGGGAGAGGAAAAGCATCTATTAGCACTTTTACTCAACAGAAAAGCCATTTGAATGCTGTTGTCTTCCTCACACTTGGCATAACATGGTTCCCCCAGTCTGTAGCAATTTAGTTTCAGGACATGGTGCTGGTATAAACACAGTAACACAGGGAACATGTGCATATATCCCCCTTTACTGAAATGTTATGGGGCAAGAGCATGACTTCCAGTGCCAGCTCCCCAAATATCATAATTTTCTGTTTCCTGTAACTACTCAAGAGTCCCTGTAGCATGCCCACCCTGCACTTCTCCCTCACCTAGTTGTTCCAGAATTATCCACTCTAAGACTTCCCTGCAGCTCTAGGAATGTATCATTGCCAAGGGAAAAGGAATCACAGAATCATTTAGGTTGGAAAGGACCTTTAATATCATCAGGTCCAACCATTAGCCTAACACTGCCAAGTCCACCACTAAACCATGTCCCTAAGTGCCACATCTACACATCTGTTCAATACCTCCAGGGATGGTGACTCCACCACTTCCCTGGGCAGCCTGTTCCAATGCTTGATAAGGCTTTCAGTGAAGAAATTTTTCCTAATACCCAATCTAAACCTCCTCTGGCACAGCTTGAGGCCGTTTCCTCTTGCCCTATCACTTGTTCCTTGGGAGAAGAGACCAACCCCCACCTCACTACAACCTCCTTTCAGGTAGTTGTAGAGAGCGATAAGGTCTCCCCTCAGCCTCCTTTTCTCCAGACTAAACAACCCCAGTTCCCTCAGTCGCTCTTCATAAGACTTGCGCCCCAGACCCTTCACCAGCTTCATTGCCCTTCTCTGGACATACAAGCTGCAATTAAGTTACAAGACTGCTCATGCCACAACTGTATCAACCTGTTGTTCTCCACCTTCACATGCTGCAAGTCAACTCATTTCAGAATGAAACTGAGCAGCCTCTTCCCTACATGAGCATCTCAAAAAACATGAGGGCAGTAGATATCCTTTTTCACTCCAAGAGGCCTCACTCCATAAGGTATATCTCCTCACAAATAGACCATAGCACACACCAGGTGTCCACGGCATCCTGCAGAGGATTTCAATATGCGGTCACCGCGTTAAGAGCTGCTGGGTTTTCCGCCATGCAAACCCTCTTTGAAGTGACCTTGAATTTCTTCTTAGTACCATCAATTTTGCTAAGCACTCTTACCTTCAGACTCACTTTGGTGGCACTCAGGTGGTGTTTCTCAGCCCTCTGACATGCAGGGACTTGGTAGCAGACACTGTAGGTTGAACAGGCAGGTTTGGTTAGTCTAAGTGAAGAGTTAACATAGAAGTTGGATGTATACTGCATGGAGCAGCCTTTTGTCTCCCCTTTTTGTTTCAACCATCCTCCTAACAGCAGCTTCTGGAGTCCAAGTTACAAAGGTTCCAACTAGAACTTTTGTTCCTTTGTAGCTTAAGTGTTGGAGGTGCCCAAGGATACAGCCATATACCTACACTTTATTCCTTTATTCCCAGCAGACTTAGCACCACATCATATGGCAATTCAAGAGTCTGATGGGACTTGCTTTACGGTCATGTCCACACTTGCCAGAAACAGCAACATTCTAGCAGCCTTGGTAATGACCAGGTATGCCCCTCTCACTGCTGTTACCACCAACTTAAATCAATATTGGAGTTTCCCATCCTTTCTTGTTACACACCAGTCAATCATGCCAGTATGTAATCCAAGCCTAACCAACAAGCCTAAAATCTGTTAAAAGCTCCAAGCACAGAAGGATTCCTCACAACCAGTAGCGGTCTAAGTCAGAAACTAGTTCTACAAATTGTTGCAGAACTGTGACATCCATTTAAAGTATATATACACACAAGAATGACTCACAGATAAGCAACCTGCTCAGATACTGCCAAAATCTGGGGTGATCACTGCCCAGTCATCTCTGCTACTGCACAGCCATTTCTACACTTTTCTAGAACAGTTTACTGAGGTTTCAATGATCTAGATAGTCATACCCAGTTAACACACAAACTGTAAAGTAGCATGAAACCATCTGAACTGACTAGTAACTCAGCACTTACCTATCAAACAGGTTGTTACCATCTTCCACAGCTCATCCTTTTAACACAGCAAAGTTCACTTTGTTCTGTACCTTAAAGCACCTGTGAAAAAGAAGAAACTGAATGCACTTGCCAAGTTTCAGAGGCCACTATCCAGTGCTCACACTGGAACATGAAAATAGAAAGCAAATACATTCAAATCCCTGAAGAGGACAAAGACTGTATCAGCAAAAATACCAGGTTTAACAGACACAGCAGAACAAAAACCAACGATGCCAAATGCTGAACTACTGTAGCACTGTTTTTTGAACATCCCATCAGAAGAATGCTGCTGGGTGCAGATACCATACAGTGCAACAGCTGCAGTACTTCTTCATCCACAACTGCTCATTTTAACATTCAAGCTTTTTGCACCCACCAGTTAGTGCCTAGTGATAAACTACACTAATGCACTCTTCATTTCACAAAAGCTGCCATACAACTAAGAGGGAAAACAGACTCCATGAATTTCACCTTATATGATCAGCAGCTTCAGAATTCCTCTAAGTTTTTATATATCCCTACCAAAAAGGATTTATACTTCTTCCAGAATATTTTGCTTGTTTTACTTTAGACCCTGCATTCTATAGAACAGAAGCCAAGAATTTTAATTGTATAGTAGGTAAACTGGCTGAACTGCTCAGAAAACTCTTTAAAACCCAAACTTAAAGCTATAATCCAAATATTGCTGCTCAGTATGAAACTATCAAGCATTTTTTGACAAGACAAAAATGCAGCATGTTTATGAAGTTACTTCAACTTCAAACAGACACCAGTGCTGTCTCTTCTTAGCTATAGCCATCAAAACAAGAAATCATCATCACTCCTTTGTGGTCAGAAGGGAAGTTCACTGTTTCAAGCCATCCAAAAAACTCAAACCACAAGAAACAGTGTTAGAAATCAGGTACCTATACAAAAACCTGGCTGTTCAGCCCATGTAATTCAACATGTTAGTTACACCTTAAGTCCCAGAGCACACTGTGTTTTGCCACTTACCAAGCTTTTCCACTTGAGCAATTTTTTTTTTTCATTTGTACCAAAAGCATAAGTCAGTACCTAAAGGAGAACATAATGCATTATTACAGTCCCTAGGATGCTACATCTGCAGAGATTTGTCTTGCAGTTTTATCCCACAGAGCTAACAGGTAGTTCAATGGGTAAAGCGAAACCACAAGTTTATTCTGTGAGGCATTTCCAACGACACGAACCTACAGAAGAGATCCTATCGGGATAGACCTCAGCATTTCTGGTACTATAAATTACTGCAATAGATAATCAACCAGACTGGAAAGGTATCTCTTATAGATCCTTAAGCATCTTTTTATTTGTTTCAAGACATTTGGGAGAAGGAGGAAGGTAAATGATACCTTTGGGGTATCATTTGGGGAAGATGAAGTAACTCCTTCATATTAGCAACAGTTTTAATGTTAAAAGTTAATGTTACCTGAAAGGCAAAGAACAAAGGGAATTAACTACAAAATTGTTCTCAAACAGAATCCTCCACATAACTTTCCTGCTAAGTGTTAAATTAATTACTTGTAGAAGTAATACTATCAGTTTAAGCAGTTAAGCTGATCACCTCCTTTTTGACTGAGAAATTTGTGAGTGTTCTTTGGACAAATCAAAATTAAAATAAATTCTTCACTTAACAGAGTGAGTGCTAGATTAAAATACAGTTGAAACAACTCCCTGAAACCCTCCACAAGTCAGTAAGCTTGATGTCATACAGACTTCCAGCCACTGAAAACCAGAGCTCTTAAATCATTAAGGAATATGCAGAACTTCAGATGTCATACTAACCCTAGCAAGCACTTCAGATTTCTGTGAAATGGCATCCTGCATTTCTTGTCTCATCTTCTCTAATTACATACCACCTGAAAAAGCAAGATAAGGTTACAAACTGACATGCATGTGCATACAAACCAGCAGAACCTAGAGTGGTAAGTGGCTCTAACCACCACAAGCATTCCTGATAGCCTCTATTTGGAATCACACTTAAAGCTACTAATAATGCCTGAATATTATCCTATTTAATTTGATGGCTCTTCTTAATTTCCTGTTTATTTTTAAAAGAAAGTCACACAGTCGTGATCTTTGCTCACTGACAGAAAACATTGCGTGTTAATTCCTCAAGATGCCCAGAATAACGTGACATGAAAAGGTTGCTTGTAATAGATTTGTTCAGAAAGGCTATTCTCACTCACTCTCTTCAGAGCAGTTGAACATTTTGCCAATCATCACAACAACTCTCTCACAGCATTCTCAAGTTTGGGGGAAGAGAAGCTCTTATGTTTTCTAAAGCAACACTGGCCCTTCTCAGTTAAGAAAAACTAGCAATATAACAAGCTCACCAAGTTAAAGAAAGACAGCTAGCCTGCAACAGGCAAGGGTTAAAAAACAATACATCACACTAACTTACCAAGATGCTAGTTCAGACTGGACTATCGTGGACTTCCTAAAAAGAAGTAAATTGTTGCATCTGAGTAATAGTTTCAAGTTTCTTCAGTATTTTAGTAATATATTAAGACTTAGGCACTTTTATACTGAATATGAAGCAGGCAGATTATAGTCCAGTGATGCTTGTGGCCTGAATGCTAATGCCAAAACAAAGCATTTCTTTTGAAATCAGAGCCATGGCCACACAACTATCAACAAAATCTATCTGCAATTTAAGAAATTGGAGGACTATGGCACAAAAGATACAACTAAGGGAATTAACCAACAGTCAGCTGATACTGTGATGTAAAGAAAACACATATGAGATACCATTTTAAGACAGCTTACAAATACACTGTAATAAGACACTAACTATATTTTTCCTCTACCTGCTAATCCTACTTCCTTTAGTAGGCAGGATACTGAATTCAAAAACATCAAAACAAGCTAATCCTTGGGATTTTACAGTAGCTGCATTTTTAACTATGTTTGCATAATTGTCCCACTAAGTAAACCTGTTACAGGTCTCATTGTCACCACTGCAATTAACTTTACAGTGACGAAAGCATAACCTGTTACTCTTCTAGCCACGTTTTTCAATTCAGACACACAGTGAGTTGTGTCTATTTGCTGAATAACGAGGCGTAACAATTAACTCTTCACAATGTCTGCAGAATAGCTTCTATTTTTGAAGCCTAGCCAGTTAACTTTAAAAGAAACATGTCACTAGCTACCATCTGGTAGCTGGATTTGTGTTTCAAAATAGAATACTGCTTCTTTGTAAAAAGGCAGCCAGAAAGCTAAAGACTTGAACTTTTATGATCCTCATCCAACTACCTCCACCTAGGAAAATACTATTTCCTCAATACTTACCCTGAAGTAGAGGCTTGCCACTCACTGTGTGCCAGACATCACAGGAATGCCCCTTTAAGAAGAAATATTTTGGAGCAAGGTCATTGATTTAACTATACTTTTATCCCTTAACAGTTCAACAGTTCTTCAATGTTGTATTTGACAAGCTTCCCACTAAAAAACTTTCAATCTACTTGTTTCAACAGAAATACCAAGTTTAACCAGCACATCTGCATGAAAACCAACGATGCCAGCTGCTGAAATACTGTAGCACTGCTTTTTGAACACCCCATCAGGAAGACACTGCTGGGTGCAGATACCATACAGTGCACAAATTACAGATTACTTGCTGTGGGAAATAGTACTTGTCTGAAGAAATTTAATATTCTTATGCTGAAGTTCAAAAGAAACACAAAGCTTACATCTTTTGCTAACATGTTCCATGGAAGTCCACCAAAGTAATACTTGTACATCAGAAGGCCAGCAAACAGCCATAAGAATTCAAGCAGTCAAAGTTACAACTGCTCACTGCTGCAGAGCTGGCGTGTTCAGCTGCAGCATCTGGAAAGAAATTGATATAACTGAACTACACTTCTGCAAATCAGGAACATGACACTCTTTCCGTACATTCATCAGTATTTGAATTAATTGCTGTTTGAATACATGCAAATATTGTCCCTTCATATAAGTAACACAACTAATATGTTCATCAGCTGTGGGTTGCAAAAGAAGGGTTTTTTCTAAGCACTAGGTTCCAGGTTTTTGTCTACAGCAACAGACAAAAACTGAACACGTGCTGTAACAGAGTGACTGCATCAACTTTCATCTTATTTTTCAGTATTTTTGAAGCAGCATTTGAACAGTACACAAAAATCAAGTTATTTCTCAGTCTACTATATACTTACAATTAATAACTGTCACCTTCCACTACTGGTTTCTATTTTTAGAGTCAGGTATACTTTGGACTAAGGTAACTGCAACAAGGAGTTCAGTACCAGATATGCTGACATAAGAACAATTTATGCTGTATCAAACCGATGTTTTCTAGTCCAGTATCCTCACAGCAGCTAGGGCCAAAAAAGATGCCTCGATCCTACCCTCTTAAGTATGTTCTTGCGAGTTTCATTACTTGCCCAGCTTTAGCTCAGGGTTTCCCACGTTAAAGATGTTTTCCTATCTGGTTATCTTACACGGCGTTTTCTTCCATCCAATTTCCTAGACTCTCCTGAAGCCAAACAAACTTGGTAACATCCCACAGTAAGAAGTTTCACAGATTTAGCAATACATATGTGCAAGATTACCAGCTTCTTTCTGCTGTTCTGCCTGTTCTTGCATGGGACATGCATTAAGATGAAATTTTACCACAGGAAAGCAATCAGAAGCTGCAGCTGTACAATACACCCCAGTACAGAAAGCATGGGTGGGGCACCACCAGGAGACAAAAGTGTACAGTAGTTCTCAAACATCTTCAGCAGGTGAAATCCCAGGTAGTGTTGCAACCAAATCACATACATTAAATTGCACTGCAGCTTTCAACATCAGGTAGAAACAAAGTATTTCTGTATATAACTTCTAACAAAAACTGTATTTAATATACAGGTATTCAAGAACTCAAAGTTTCAGTTTTCATTCAAGCAGAGACTAGAGGCTCTAATTTGGTCAGACTGATAAGATATGTTGCACTCAGTACCTTGGAAGCCTCACACAGAAAAGTTACACAGCTGTGAAACACTGTAACATACTCACTTGAACTACAGAATACTGGTTTTTTCAAAACATTTTGTGAAGTAAAGCATAAAAGCTACCAGAAAAAAAACAGAACTGAAAACTAAGCAACAGCTTACCTTGCACATCAAGAAAACTGAGTGGCATTTCATCTTCCAAAAGCAACAAACTAGAAGAAAAAAAACCAACAAAGGAATAAGAACTATCAGATGTGGTCAAATAACCGAAGATTCCTAAAGCCAAAAGCTGGGCTTCAGCAATCAATTTAACAGTTGCAATAAGCTTGATTTTCATGTGTATTTATCCAGTTCTAATCAGAATTGAAATTTAGTTCATTTCTGAGTCACTCAGCAGTTGAACAGAAAAATTCATCACATGAACTGCAGAATGAGCAGGACTCCACATACCACCTCGCTATGCCTTACCAAGCAAGAACCCCACTCCTAGATCCAGGATGAGTCTTTCAAGCCAGAGAGTATTTCTCAGGTAGATGCCTGAAAGAGTTACATTTAGCCATTAATTTTGGACCAATATTAATTGTGATCTTCAACTACTGAAGAGTAATTTTTACAGCCTTACTCCCTAGAGCTATCAAGTTGCAACTGGGAAACTCTGAACTTCCTTTACAAAGATCTGGGACCTTAATTCAAGCATACAAGGAATTGCAACTTGACCTGCTCTCACTACACTGAGCACCTACTGTAAATCTCCTCAGGCTGCCAATTACATTTTGAAGGAAATTAAACCAGTAGATATTAAGTCTTTTTCTGACAACATCCCTGTTCAGCACAGACTACTTTTACCTGCTGAACAGCTGTTAGTTTGTTGCTGACAGCAATTTGGTTATTAAAGACTATTTGAGTGAGGCAGATCACCCTTTGGTTTAAGTCTTGTTGATTCAAAAGTAAACTTTTTAAACAATTTTTTACTTCTACTGCTACCAAGACAGCCTTGTCATCTAGGAGTTAGCCATATTCAGACCATTTCCAAACATTCACTAGTCATGTTTCCAACTAAGACACCTTTGAGAAAGGTATTGCAATTGGGGCAATGCTTGTAAGGTGCTGTCATTATAAAGAGCTTTCATCTTCTGCTTAGTCATGTTAAAATCAGAACCCATTCTAGACAGAGGAAGGCAAGAGGGGAAAAAGAATCTTTTAATCCAAGATTCACTGCGCTGCAACAGCTATTTTTAAGATAATTTATAACGTCAGATTATTGTATTAGATTCAGGAGCAGAAAATTAGTTTTCTGAAGAGTTATTCCACATGGAATAGACAACCTCGATCATACAAATTGATTTTATCATCATTCAAAGGTATTAACCATATTTTGCAATAGACTTTTGTCTAAGTTGACTAACCACTTTTGGATTTTTACTGTTGGCACTTGATTTGCATTAAGCTTCAATTCTGTCTTCAACCCTTACTTAGCTCTTGAAGTATTTCAAAGCATAACCTGCACTTCCTTAAGACACAAAAAAATAATCTAAGTATCACTCACAAAAAAAGTCATAAAAGAAAGGCATCCAAATTGCCCTTTGTAACTTGAGCGTATATATGTACGTATGCAAATGCATACACTTTTCTATACTGCGCTGCTGCTTATGCTACAATATTTGGAACTTGTTTTGCTGTTCTGAATTACATAAATTCTCTGATCCATTAGTTAACAGAAGAAAAGTTGCAGAAGCTAGCATTTCGGCACGATTATCAGCAACTGAATCAAGGATATTAAACACTCGATACAGGACAGCACAGAAGATGCTCAAAAGCTTAGCAAAAAGTCGTCATACTTGTTTTGTAATGGTCTCAGACACAAGCCCAATATACTCACCTTAAACAAAATCTGACTAGGTTACTTGGTTGATAGCTCAACATTGACTTCAGGACAATGTTTTAAACCAAGTAGGCCATGAAAAAGGTATCTGAAGAGTGACAACTGCCACCTCATTTCTCAGTTTTCTGTTCACTGAGGTGAACCTTGCAGAAGCCCAGAGTTCTCAGCAGCCTACTCTTCTTCCTCGTCTACTTCGATCACTTCAGTTGACTTTGCACGTTTTGTTTCTGGCTTTGTTTTTTTCTTACTGGGAATTTTGCTGCTTATAATGAAAGAGCTGTTCTCCTAAGAAAATGGAAGACAGAAAGAAGTATTCACAAGTCTAGTTTTCAGATACTTAAAAGGTAAGATTTTAGTAGTAACTTTGCAAATTTAAGAACTCTTCAGAGAACTCCAGAATTCCCATACATTTCAGCATTATTTCAGTGTGGACTCTCAAAACAACTTCCTTCTGCATTACAGATCAGGATTCACAGGTTATCGCACAGTTAACTCTGAAACCAAGCTCAAGAATTAAGTACTCAAAACATTATCTACTAATTCTTTAACCTCAGAAGAGAAAGAAGGTCAGAGAGTTTTTGAAGTTACAGAGTATTTACTCACCACTACTCTGGCATCAAGGACTTCTTGATTATCAGAATTCAAGCTGTCATCACCATCATCATCACTGAAAATATAAAAATTCAAATAAAACTCTGTACTTTTATAGTAGCCTAAAATGTGGAAACTATTTTCCTACCACAACCCCTGTTTCCTCTTAACATGGATGGAAGTGCTACAGCTTGTAGGTGTAAGATAATACTACTTCTACATAAGGTTGTTCTCAAATAAGTTTCGGACAGCAGAATTGCCTCCTAACTAGCAACACTGGCAGGACAGAAGCAGTGCTTTGCAGCAGAACAAAGATTTAGTAGCAGACATCAACAGTAGTATTGAGAAATTTAGAATTACACCAACAAACAGGCTATAAAGTCAGCAAGTTAGAAAACAAACAGAATACAATCAAGAAAGGAAGAGGATAGGCCTCAGCTAACAAGAGTACACAACTTTCTTCCTGATATTGTAACTGAGAAATATTATCTCCACACTGCCATGGAACACAAGTATGAAATTAAATTCCATTATCATCCACAGGTTTCTCTCAAGATAGGACTCCCTATAAAGAGATGAAAACCATTTTAATACTATGCTTTTAACAAGTGGCACAGGAAGGACTGGTTCCAAAACCTAGAAAGTCTTCTAGTACTCATTTCAGATAAAGAATTGAGTGTCTGGATGAGCTGACTTTCATTTATTCTACAGAACTTTGCTGCTTCTGCTCTTTTGTAAGAGAGCAAACTAATTATTGTTACTCATTTTACAGGATCACCCCAATACTTCAACTTGCATAAACTAGCCCTGTAAGCGATTAGTAAAGTGAACAGTAGCTGAAAGACAGCTTTGTACCTTTACATTGTCTTGTAGGCTTTCCAGTTTTAAGGTGCTGTGTATATTTACAACATTAAGTATTCTTACTGATTTACTGATTAAGTTAACTAACCAAAAAGACCAACCTAAGATGATACTTCAATGCTTAATAAAGTAAAAAGGAAATTTAAAAATATCCTTTAGTCTTTGCCATAAACACTACGCTTCTTTATTTGGGGTAACTAGAGGAACTAATTTCAGGAAATACCTTTTTTTAAAAAAAAATTTCTACCACATCATTTTAATGAGACTGTACAATGTCTCTTGACACTTGAAACAATGCTCAGTCTTCAGATTAAAACTATCTCATTCTTTGAGAAGTTCCAAGTCACATTTACAGGCACAGAATTCCAAATGGCTGAGCATTTTGTTCCCAAAATAAAGAACGCTTTCATAAGCAGATATTCACATTTAGATCACACAATGCTGATACAGGTTAAAAGGCCAGGATAGGAACTGAACTTGGTACACCTACAACTCTGTCACAAATCACATGCTACTACAAGCAACTGTACTACCTCCTGAATTCCTCAACTGTAAGAACAGCTGATTGTACTGGTGTGGCTGGGATGGAGTTAGCTTTCTTCATAGCAGCCTGTATGGTGCTGGTTTGGATTTACAACAAAAGCAGCATTGATGCCCTCCCCATGCCAGCGAACAGGCTGGGGGTGACCAAGAGCTGGGGAGGTGGGGTGTCTTGCATCTACTTCTATACACACAAATTTCTATTCTAGTCAAGAACAAAAAAGCAAGTTTTATACCACCTAAAAATATAAAGATGAACTTACTTCATCTCCTGAATAGGGGAAATGGGGCCCTCATCATCTAAGTATTTGTGTTTTCGTACCGCCAGACATTCTCTTTCTAAGTCTTCACTAGCCTGAAGGGCTTTTAAAGCTTTTTTAAGATGTTCCTCATATTTAAGCACTTCAATGTACTGGAAATATCCCTTTGTAGCTGCTTGCTGAAATAAAAATACATCATGTGAGATCTTAAAAATACCACTATAAAGCATCTGTATTCTTAACTGTAATATTATATTGACACCTGTATTTTAGCTGTGTTTGTCTTAAAGGTATTAAATAAACAGACAACATCAATTGTCCTCTTTAACATAAGTAAAAACTGTTTCCTTGTTTTATTGTAGCACATCAGGTAGAAGCAAAAGATAGTCTCAAAATAGTGAGCTTAAATTGGCTAAATAAAGAAACAATACATTTATCCCACAAAACAGAGGGCTCACCTCATAGCCAAGAACCATCTTTAAGGGAATATGTTTCATCCCATAATGTTTTTCAACAAAAGGGAATTGAAAACCTCTGTCTAGAAGCCTTCTCTTTTGCTCTTGTGGTGAGGCTGTCAGTGGCGGCCTCCCCGTAGGCATCCCTGTGCTCTCATACTTTTTCTTCTTCTTCTTCCCTGAGCCACCCTTGTATTTTCGGTGTGCAGCAGCCTTAAACTTCTTTCCCCTGAAGTGATAGGCAAATATGGCCTTCAAGTTTAGTTTTGACTTCTTCTTGGAAGTTTCCGATGATTTCACTGCACTTGCAGGGGACAGAGAAGAATCTGAAGAGCTTTCGTTGTCAGGCACTCCTGCAACAGATTCAGCTTGTTGCCTTGAAGATTGAGATGTCCTTTTTTGCTTTGAAAGTGCAACGGAGCACTTAGGATGGTACTCACTGCCACTAGCAGCAGAGAGATCACTGAAGAAGAAATAAAAAAACATTTACTTCCAAAAGCATGTGTACTTTTTTTTATGATACATGACACAGGTTCTTCACAGGAAAAAATCCAAACTAGAGAGAAAAACTCACATTTCTGAATCACTGCTGTCCAGTAAAATCTCAGCTGAAGCAGCTGATGATTTACATATACTGTTAAGCTCATCTGAAGACTCCTCAGGAACAGCATTCTTCTGCCTTGAACGTGAACACTCCATTCGCGTATTTTTTTCACATGCATGTACCTTATATGGTTCCTTCTGCAAACTGCATATTAGCTCTTGGGCATCAGGGTAATCAGAGGCAGAAGCCTGGGATTCATCTGTATCAGTCATGTTTCAGTTTGCCCTAAAAATCAATGAGAATTCAAGAAATTAAAGAAAATTCTACGTTAATCGGGTAACAAGCCTTCCACCACTCCACCTAATAGGGTAAACTTACAAGAACAATCTTGAGCAAACTTCAACATAGATTTTCCTATGAACCACGAGCAAATGAATCAACCTTCAGAGTAACAGTTAAGTTGCAGCCACTTATCTCAAGATACTCATAGCATAATTCAGGTCAGAAGGGCTTTTTACAGCTCTTTTGGTCCAACTCCTGCTCAAAGCAAGGCTAACTTCAGAGTTGCATCAGATTGTTCATAAACTTGTAGAGATGAGTTCTGAATGTTTTAACCCTCTCCCTACTAGGAGTAAGTTTTCCCTTAAACAAGCACACACATGCGTAGCCAACAGCTTCTTATACTTGTAAAGATATTGCAGTTTCAAGTCATATACAAATACCCACTTCACTGTCGTTTACAGCCTTTTTAAACTAATCCAAGACACTGTCACCATCAGAAGCAATGCCATCTTCCCTCTTTTCTTTTGCTAGCTACATGATACTTAAAGTCTCCTGCTCTAACAATCTATCAACCCTTTGCTCACTGGTTATCAATTGACATGGAGACTAGACCCACAAACAAAATTTTAATTTTCAGTTGAATCTGAAATACAACCCAAACCACCCCCTCAGCTGCCCAAGTCTATACAAAACAGACTGAGGAACCTGTCCTTCCTGTGTAATAGCCTCAAGTTATTTTACCCACTTGTTAGTCATTTACTAGCCCTATAGATCTGTATCTTTGTAATTTTACTGTGATTTTTACAGTTTCACAAACCCATCATCATACCCATTAATATTTCAAATGTAGTTACACACAATTTAGCATATGAAGACACTATAGCAGAACTCATCTAATGTCCTCGGATAACCTGCTATTGTCTAGATAACAGTTTCATGTTTCAGAGTACAGATTACTGTGGATTCAGGAAGAAGGCTTCCCAAAAGCATGGGAAGACATACATATGCAACAGCAAATTGAAAAGTCTGAAAATACAGTAGATGTATATAGACTAGCAGTTAACAATAAGAATAGCAGGTCAGAACAAATGGCTACAGAACATGAGCAGCCATAACTGCTTACAGTATTTAAGTTCCATTTCTACTCTAATCCATACAGCTACAGATATCTCAAAGTTGTTCTCAGAACAAAGAGAAAATATCACAAATCTGCTGCAGCCATACATCAGTGACTGATTTTTAAGCAATCTACATTTAAATGACTTTCTGCATCACTAACTGTTCAAGACAAAACCTACCCTGTCGCGTTTTTCAAAATGAAAATATTTCATTCCAAAGTTGCATTAAATGCAGGCTTAGAAGTACACTAGACCTTAAACTCACCCTAATGCACTTAAAATAGCAGCACAGGAGTCCAATCTGCCCTTTGCTGTGAGGAAAGGTGATTTTTGACAGCAACCTGTGTTGTCCCACAGGTGGGGTTCTGTACCCCGTGTGCAATAAGCCAATCTTACACAGAGCTAAGATATTTATTTACTTCATGTTTGCACAAAGATGGGTGCTGAGCGGTAATTCCACAAAGCTAGCACACCACACCAAAGAACTACAACATATTTATCCTGTTACATGATTAGTAAAAAAAACACCTAAATTTAGGCTCATTGGTTAGTAATCCCCATTCCTTCTGGTACTGGTTAAGTTATATTTAAATTAGTCTCCCTTACTACATAAATTGACACGCATGCTCCTTACAGGGGAGGGCAAATCTTTTTGGTCTTGAAATGAGTCGGTGGTCACGGATCTTCCCCTGCCACCTTTACCTTCCCCCCAGTTACTGCAGATTTTACTGACTTCATGCTTCTTTGGCAATCATCCAGCTTTCGGCACCTTCTGGGGCAGGATGTTGCCTCTTTATCGGTCTTCAGATCCTCTTCAAGGGTACAGTCCTTAGCGAGGCATGCATTGTTTATACAAAGTAACCAGGCCTACACAATGAAGCTACCGATTGATGGTCACCCTAAATCAAGCAGTGCCACTGTAACCTAGGCATTAACAAACCGAAGGTTTTGCTTAGTCTACACCTGCACCTACACCCTGGGTGAACATCACCCAGGGCCTGACAGACACAACGCCCAGAAACAGAACAGCCTAACATCACAGCAGGAACACATGCAACAACGGCACCCTACAGGGCTGCGGCTGGTACTTACCGTCAGCAGCTCAGCATCATTCACCGCCTCTACTGCAGCTCTGTTCTTCACAGCTGGCACGCCACACAGACCCCTTAGGGAAGAAAAACAACCAGTATGTAACTGACTGATCACTTCTCCCAAAAGAGCTATCAATGAGCCAACGTCTTCCTCAGGTGGAAAGGCGCTGGACACACCGCTCGCCGAGCTCGGCTGCTAGCAGCGCGCTGGGGCCGGCGCCGCGGCAGACATTTCGGACGTGGGCACCCACCACATTACCACAGGTCGGGGACACCCCACCGGCACCGCTCCCACGGAGACCCTCGCCAAGTGCCGCCACACAGCCGGCTCCCGAGGACAACACACCCCGCCGGGGCAGACCGGGCCGGGCCGCCAGCCTGCCCCGGGCCCTTCCTCGCTGAGGGGCCCTGCGGCGGAGGCGCTGGGCGAGCGGGCACGACTCGACTCTTCCCCCCTCACCCGGGTCCCTCGCTCCCGCCGCCCCAGCGCCGCGGATGGCGGCGGATGCCGAGCGCGCCCTCACCCACCTTGCGCCCCCTCACGCACCGCCGCCCCAAAGGGCGCGAAATGGCCGCCCGAGAGCTTAAATAGCGCCGGGGGGGGGAGGGCTCGCGAGAGGCGCGCGGGCTGAAGGGAGGGAGGGAAGGCAG